AATTACAACTATTTGTTAGTTTGTTAATTATAATTCAATAAATTGAAAATTAAAGCTTAAAATATTTTTTCATATATATTATAGTTAATTTGTTATTGCTATAGTTATATCTAATAGCATAATATATAGGGATTATCTCTACATATAATTTCTATTTTTTATGGGATTAAATAGTCCATATTAAATATTATATAGAAGAGTTAGATGGCTTCTTTTATCTCTAAAAATCCAATCTATTTTTTTTTTTACTTTTTAATTTTTAAATTGAACATCAATTGTTTATGTCCATAAAACAAAACTGATAAACACATATCACTACAACAAAAACATACTTTAGTGGCACTACACTAGTGGCATATTTTTAGAAAATGCCACAAAAAATGATATTTAGTGGCACATTTTTGAAAAATGCCACAAAATGACAAACATAAAAGGCTCTAGTGACATTTCAACGAACAAGTGTCACAAAACTACAACTAAAACACATTTTAGTGACACTATATTAATGGCATGTTTTTAGAAAATGCCATGAAAAGAATATTTGGTGACACATTTAGAAAAATGCCACAGAACCACAAACATATAAGGCTCTAATGACATTTCGATAAAGAAATGACATATCAATTTTATGGCATTTTATAAAAGAATGACACAAGAAATTAATTTAGTGACATTTATCAACAAATGCCACTAAACTTTAGTAGCAATGGCATTTTTTAAAAAATGTCACTAAACTAAGTAGATGCAAGTTACTTTTTATGGCATTTTGACAACTATCACTTAGTTAAAAACTTTCCAAGTTATCTAATGGCATTTTAAAAAAAAAAAAAAAATTGCCAATATACTTCCAAAATTTTTAAAATGCACAAAATAAATATAAATAAATAAATTGAACTCAATATAATATGTTTTTCAACTGTACTTAACCACATGTACAAAATTGAACTCAAATAAATTCATCTCAATATAATAAAATTTGAAATTGGCCTCCTATATAATGATAAATTACTAATTCGAGCCAAAATAAAAAAAACTTTGTGTCAAAATCAATTTAATTGAAATTACAGGAATTAAAATTACACAATAGCAAAAAATAGAGGACTAACAGTGTAATTTGCCCTAATTGTTAGCATTTTTTTAATGAAAAAAATGCATATGTCATTCTTTTAGAGGCAAAATTATAAATTTGCTCAAATCAATAAATTAATCTCAACCAATTTAGTAATCATTTTACGTCATAAATACTAACAGTATTATCAATTAGACCAAATTCATACAAACTTAAGATTAATCTAATTAAGAGTGTAAGTACCCAAGTTGCTATTTATTTATTTTGATACTAAAATGTGAACAAAATCATTTCAAAATAAATAAATTAATTGACTTTTGGTATACCAATTTAACACCTCATTACCAATTCTCCATATATATATATATATATATATATAGTTGCCACACGCGATGCGTGTGCAATTCAAATAAATAAAAATAAAATAAAACATTTA